TTAGACCAGTCACCTCAGCAGCAGCATCTTTGCCTTGTACCACTGGAGCACACAGCCAGCAACTGGCCTTGCCATCAGCTGCTGCTGTGCTCATTTTTAACCAAGTTTTTTCTTTTTTTATTCCCCTCCCCTCCCTTATTTCCATAATCATCAAACTTTTAGGAGCCTGAAAAAACAGCCAAGGAGACAGCAGTTTAGCCTATCTGTTTCCAAGGCATTTAGAATGAGTAGGAGGGTTTCAACTATTATCCACCTGAGATGAGCAGGACCGAATGCACCGACAGAAAGACATTATTGAAGTTACACGCACAAACACACACTTTAAATTGGTGAGGGAGTTGGCCTAAACCAAGCTGCCACCATTTCAGCAGCTCTTCCAGCTCCAACCTGTCCCTACGCTGCACTTTCAGTGCATTAAAGCACAGACGCATAAAGCGCCCGTCCGCGTACCTGTGCAATCTGGTGAACGAGATGCAGGAATCAATCTGGCTAAAAAGAAAATCATAAACATATCTTCAAAAAACAACCTATTTTTAAGCTGGATCATTTCCCCAGTCCAGCTTGTTGTGTTGCTCCACTGCCAATCCCTCCTGCAAAACAGAGGTGGGGGCAGAGGCCGGGGGTGAACCTGGTGAGAGCTTGGGGCTTCAGGGCAGCTCCAGCCAATGCTGGTCAGGGGCTTCACAGCCCTGGTTCTGTGCTCCTCCTCCTCCTCCCCTCGATCAATCCTGGATCTGCCTCTGTGATCTAGGAGTTCAACTAGCTAAACCGGCAGAAGACAAGCTCATTTCTCTCCCTGCTACATCAGTTTTTTGCTAATTTAGCACCCTGGATTCAACGCCCTACCGAGTGAAACGAGCACTACTGGGAAGGTGCTCCCACAGAAGCAGTAAATCAGTTTATACCATCAAGTCATCAACTTCAGCCTTAATTATTCAAGTTTAAATAAACCAGTTCAGTGCATGGACTAATTTAACTCATTAGTTTAGTATCGCAGAGTTGAAGGCATAAAACTGTACTTCACTGAACTAGGATAAAGGGACACAGGTCACGTCTCCTTCCTGCCACTGGCATTATAAAGCGATCTGGTGACCTGAGAAAGCGACACTGGTACTTTAATTTGTTACTAAGCCTCTTTGCGTTAATAACACTATTTATATTTCTGGCTCAACCCATGACATCTGAAGAAAAATTATAAAAATAGCATTAAAATGAAAAGACGACCTCTAATTTATTTTATGTAACAAAGGGTTGTATCTATTTCACTGAGTGGAAACTAAGTCCAGAACAAGAATGGATCAACTCAAAGCACCTAATCCATTCAAAGAAGAAATAAATGCACATGCAAATGTAGTGTCTTTTAGGTACAGTTATCAAAATCTAACTTCATGTTCTTACCTTAACCTACAGTTAACTGCAAACATAAACCTAAGTGTTCCCACACATCTTTCTGCACAAGTTTTTAGTTAGCACAGGTTTATTTCCAGAACTCCACTCACCAATAGATGTAACTCTTTGTGAAGACAAGATGTAAGCTACTATACAACCAATTTTTTAATTAAATATGAAGCACTTCTAGACACTTCAGTCCTATACAAGAACTTGGAGATCTGTGTCTCCCAAGTGGAAGGCACAGAGGGACATAAACTTAGACTATGCTGAAACCACAAGCTTGCAATCTGCACTAATATGAACTCTTACATTTAAAAAAAATAATCTAAAAACAAAGCAGCTCCCTCTTCAGCCAAGATTTTGCTGTGTGCTTACGCACTCTTGGTCTCTGAATGTCATCGAGGGTACATCTCGGAATGCCACACGGTACGCAGCTGATGAGCAAAGAGCTTGGATTCCCTTCCCTTGCAGCTTTACGAATGCCACAGGGTACTCGTTACGCAGGAAGACTGCATTAATTCTGCAAATATGTCCACTTGTTCAGTTCAGCACAACACTGCCAAAATACGCATCTAGAGGATGCGTCTCCACTAACAAAAGGAGCAGAAATCCTCTCTCTCGACTTCCTCTGGAGGTGTTTTATTCACGGTTCAGTGAAGTGCATGGTAAACTGCAACCATGAGCAGAAGGCTATTTAAAGGCACTTATGCGGGTCAGAACTAGAAATGTAATGGTAAACAGGATAAATGAGACAAACAGCTAGCTTCCTGGAAGCAAGAGAAAAAAACCCCAACTAATCGAGGGAAGACTGATGTCATTCTATTAAACAAGAATAAAACAAAATGAAATTCAAGGGATGTTTAAAGTTTGTATCTTGTTTCTCATATGTAGCAAAGCAATATCAGTGTGAAGTCTACCAGGGCCAATATAATCGTACTAAACAGATTGAATCTGGGCAGAAATCAAGTTAGGAAACAAGAATCCACATTGCTTCGAGCAGAGAATCGGCAAAACTAATTATTAACTGTCTCCTACTCTGCTGTGTTAGGAAATGTTATTTGTTGACTTTCTGTAAGCCAAACGCAAGAATCTGAGGTGCAAGGTGGATGTGCCAGACACACGCTGCTCTCTCTTTGGCCATCAAACTTCCTAAATACACCAAGATCCTGAAGATCCAGCCAGTTTGATGTAGTTCCCCTCCAGGCTGTCGAAGAAAACTGCCTGGTCATCTCAGGTGGATTCAAAAGGAAGGATTCAAAACCTGCACGTTTCCTCCAGTCCCTCCTACCGACCAGCACTGGAGTGATCCCAGTAGAGATCTCCTGCCGCAGCTCGGCAGGGACAAAGCGCTGCTCAACCCCGTCGTACACTGGGTGGGGGTGAACCCAGGGCAGTTTGGGATTTACCACTGTACCTTTTAAATATTTACAAAACATATACACAGAACTCTACAACCCTGAGGAACCCGGGGAAGGGAAGGGAGCATTGAGAACACAGCACAAGGCAGGCAGCAGGAGCTTCTGCTTTCGGATTCCCAAGAGAGAGGAGGAGGAGAAGAAGAGAGAGAGGTTTCATATCATTAGATTAGAATGGAAACCACAGGGCAGGAAAATGCATTCAGATTTTTTTTTTTTTTCCCTAAGGTGGAGGAAGAACCCAAGAGTGAGTCAGTGGCCTCCAGAAAGTTCCATTTCCTTTGCTTCACCATCAGATCACCAAACTGTTGTTTTTCCATTATTATGTGAATACCAGGTGCTTCGTGCAGCTACACCCCACTCAAACACTGGGGCCTCCCATTTTCATGCTAAGCAGGAATAATCTTGCATTCTTTTTAAAACAGGTATTATTTTGGGTAGAGAAGGATGCAAAGATACCACAGAATTACTCTCTGGGCGTTTTCTCATTCTGTTCAGATTCTGCCCCGTCCCTCATACAGGCTATCAGTTTTGCAACTGCTTTTTGCTGTAAGATGACCAAAAAGCAGTAGAAAACTGCATGGTCAAGGACTGGAAGAACATCTCTGTGGATTGCTTTTTCATATACTTATTAAGGGTTCAGGATAAAATTCAAAGAACTCTTCAGCAATAATTTTTGTTTTAACTGAAAACCAGAAGCCTTGGGCTTTAACAACTGCAAAAGAAGGTACTTTCATAGTCGTAAATCAAATCTTCACAGAAAGCCTCCAATGTTAGTGTTGCCTAGAAGGGAAAGGGCAGCTGTCGGCATTTAATACAGGGCTGTACGGATGGGAGAGAGTGAAGTTCATGTCTGGGGAGGAAGACACTGTTCTGGAACACACAGGCAGTGGGGGATGAAGGATAGAGCTCGCCACTTTGCCAGGCCAGTTATTTTTGTTCTTTCTTTTGCAATTACATCCAAACAAGTTGGGATTTGATAGAGGCCAGAGGCTATTCCCAAAGCCAAATAGAAATGACTAAACTTGAGACTAATTCACAGATAGCTCTGGCCTATAAATATCAGAAGAACAGCAGAGCCAAATAAATATTTACATAGTCAGTATAGCTGATTGTTTTGGTAAAGGGTATAGATTTTTATCTACACAGGGGAGTAAAACTTTCTAAGCCAAATAGGCATTTACTTGTTCAGACTGTCTTATTAAAAAAAAAAAAACAAACCACAAAACAACAAAAACATGGCATTAAGCACAAACAAAGGATGGGGAAAAGGCTAACACTCATTTCTTTTGTATACAGATCAACCGCTTTCTGGTTTCCAGCTAACACAGAGACTGAAGAATTTCAGAATGCATCTTGGGCAACACGGGTGGAAATTTGCAGAGGGCTCTGAACATGAACATACCCCGGAATATATGTTGAAGCAAAGAGGCCACCTAAGACTGTGAACCTCAAATCCAAGTGAAAGGCACAGACTCTAAACCGAAACTGCTTAGCTGAATTGCAACTTCAAAATCTCTTGTGTGCATGCACACATGTGCACACACGTGTGTGGAGGGAGGAGGGAAATTTTGTTTTAATTGAAAATGGGAATCTTAGCATTGATTAAGTCAAGCAGAGTATAGACATGCACTGTGCAAGCTTCCCCCATAGAGCTTTGGCAATGCACCTCGCTCCTGACCTGCAAAACTCCCTGCTATTCCAGTGCTGAACCTCCTGGGCAGAGAGAGAATCACATCAATTTGTCATTGTGGTGATACTGGTTACATGATGAGAACCAATTGCCAATTAGGACAAAGATCACTGAATCTCTCTGCAGCTGACCTGAGCAACATTTGAAATCTCACCTCCAGAGAAATAAATTACCATTAACCCTCAACAAAACCTCCCTCTTAATCTATCTGTAAGATGAAAATAGGTGCGTGAATGCAAATTCAGTGGGGAGAGGTCCACATGGGGCAGGGCAAGTGGAATGAGGATGCTTATATTAAGCATCAAATATCTCAAACATGAAAGGTCGGTGTCTCAGAAATGCCAAGTAAGTCTGCAAAATAGACTAAATCAAATCCTTTCACATATGAGACATGACAGTTTTTTCTATAGAAGTTTTTTAATGCAACGAAAATGGGGGGGCGGGTGGGTTAGGCTTTGTTCTTACAGTCTCCCATCACACAAAGGTGTTTTACCTCATTGTGCCTTCCCTGCAGGGCACCCATTGCTAGTGCAAGGGGAAGGGGTTGGTGTGAAGGCTCAAGTGACTGACTCCCTGTTTGATCAAAAGGCTGGGGAACCTGATCCCACAATAAAGACAGGAGCGTCTAGGAGCATTTGTACATGCTGCCCAGAAATGACCATGCTCAGAGTCTGGAGTCAGAGGGAACAGGAGATAGTCCCCAAAATAGCTTTTCCCTTCCCCCATCACGCTACTTCCTCTACAGAGTATATTCTCTAGGCAATGAACTGCCTTTTACTCTGCAATCAAAACAAGAAAAGCAGGTACAGAAACAGGACTTACCTTCGAGCCACGCTCATTAAAGATTATCTCTACATCAAGGATTTTGCCGAATTGCTGCAGAGACACAAGGGGGAAAAAAAAAATTATTTTTGGCAATCTATTTTTCCTACCTTTTGGGGGCTGGCTTAGTGCAGGAAGGGAGGTGAGAATATTTCCATTTCTAGCATACAGGCAAAGGCATAAAATCCCAGTGGCGTGACCCAGTTCTCTCAGGTTAGGGACACGCAGATCCTCTTGGTCACAGACCCCAGGTCTTTCTCACAAAAGTCTAAAGGAAGAACAATAATCTCCAGAAGAGTTTTAGTGATTTGAGGCAACTTTTCTTTTTCCCCTTTTAATCGAAACAATTCTTTCTTCCCGCATTCTACTATTTCATCTAAGACACTGTTATATGATTTCATCTCAGACATCTAACAACACTGCTCAAACATAATTCAGCATTTCATCTTCCTCCTGAAGTGGCTATCACAAAGAGAAACTTAACAGTGATGCTGTTTCTCTGGAGGGGATAGTCACGTAAGACTCCCAAACTCAGGGATTCCAACCTCTAAATCTCCTTTCCTCCCTCTCCCTTTACTTTCTATAACTCCAAGCCTTCAAAAGAATTGATGGCAGATTCAGAAACCATGAAAATGGCCAACTCCCAACAGTTTGTTTTTCAGAAAAAGATCATTCAACTTCAACCTGTGACATACAGCAGGCTGTCGATAACCTATGCAAGTTTATCACGTGTGACAGAATTCTGACCTCTGCCTCAGCCTGGAGGTCCCGAGGACAGCAGGACCCCACCACTCTGCACTGCTTCAACTGGTTCCAAAGTGCTCCCTACTTAGCACAGAGTAAAAATGGGAAACGAGAGCTACAAGCTAGAAAGGAGATTCACTACACTCTGTGGAACCATATATGGATCACATTCTTTCCCTTGGAACAGATTAAAATATTTTTATTGAACTGGCCAGATTCAAACCAGTAACCTATAGGTAAAAGCATCACTACTTCAACACAGCCCCACAATGCTCTGTCCTCTAGAAGTGTCAATGTTTTATTTCCAAACTGGAGGTCTGTTCTCCACAAAGACAGGTCTAATATCTCATTTTCAGGAGCATATATACAGAGCACTCTTCATTCTAGAGACGCATACAGTGCTCAGACAAATTCTGTATCTGAGCGTTTTTCCTACCCCATTATTTAACGAAAGTTTCCATCAACATGGTTTTGATCTCATCGCTTGCAGAAGATGTAAAAGTGGTGGCAAATGAAGGAAGGGTCAACAAGAAAAGAAAGGATGATTTCGCAGTTAGGAAAGATGATGAACAGAGTCTCCAGGCACTGGGATACTCTCCACTCTGCCATGGTGCTCTTAACGTAATATTTGCCATTTTTTTAAATTAACATTTCCATTCAGAGTCAAACGGGTATAATGCTCTTTTGGTGGGTGCGCTGCTTGGAAGACTTGTGGTCGAATTTGCAAACATGGAACATTTACAGCAGTGAACCATGATGGCTGAGGAGAAGCTCCGAATATGTAAAGCAATAAAAAGCTATTAAGTCCCTTGAACAAGTATTCCACAACTGTCTTTAACCAAACAAAATGCTTCCAACAATTTTAGCTATGGTTTCTGTCTGTTTCCATTCTCCATTCTTAAAAAGGAGATAGTTGTATTCTTTTACAAATGTTCATTCACAGATGTTGTTTTTACTGTTCTATTGTTTAAGGACAATACTTGATCTTCTATTCATCCCAGGAACAATTGAATTCACAATATACCACGTTACACAAAGTCTGAATAATGCTAATGTAAACATGCATCTTCCTTGAAACCTCAACATCTCAACAGCTTAGGTTTGATCCATGTTAGATCCTCTTTTGACCACTGCTGTGCCAATCACTGCTAAAATGCATTTTCTATTTCTATCCCACGCTTGGTGTGGGCTTGTCTATAAAGCAGATTAGCCGTTGATTGCTTTTTGTTGTCTTTGTTGCATATGGCTTGGGCACCGCCATGAAAGCAATCAGTCATGATTGCTTTCTCGGTAGACTATCTCAGTGTCATTACACAACAGAGGCTGAACCAATTTAACAGCTCGCGGCTGCTGAAGGGATGTCCCGGCTCCCTTGTCTGGTCTCACCAGCTTCCTAAAGCTGGCCTCAGTTTTCATTTTCACCTGTAGACAAACTAATACAGTTCACCAATCCTGTGACAAACTAGCCCAACAAAAGGAATAAATACAAAGTTTTTGATGATTTACTGATCTGAAGTGGCTGAAAGGGTCAGGTGAGCAATTAGGGCTCCGAGAAGCAAAAGGGAGTGGAAAGCAGCACATCCTGCCCAAGAGCAGGATCTGTCCCTGCCAGATCAGTTCCGCTGCATACGCTTGCCACACACCTGGAAACAGCTGGGCTCTCGGTAAGTCCAAATGCCAAAATTATTTTTGGTACCTTCAAAGCCACCAAAAAAATCACTGTTTTCTACCTCATTACAATCATCTTGAAAGAGAACAAATCGTGCAGCTTCTGGTACACAATTATGCCATGCCATCTTCCCCTTTCTCCACACCCAGTTGGGTCTGGATCCTCAGGTGGTACTGCCACTGCTGCCTGCCAGCCCCGTTCAGCTGAGCTCCCCACGCAGGGTTTCCACACCAACAGGAAATCCTGTCTTGTGTGTTTAATTTCTTGTGGCTGACAAATAGCTGGCAGTAATGCTGAACGCAAGCGGTCTGACCTAGCTCCATGAGAGGCGACAGGGCTGCCTCCCTGCTCCGTAGATGATGGAGGCATACCGTTTCCTAGAGGACAGAATCAAGATCATCAAATCCCACGGTTGCAGCGAATACACGCTTGACCTCTACTGCAACGGGCTACATCCACCCATGCAAACCGCCCCAAGCTCTTTTCTACCTAGGAGTTGCGGGTGTTTGAAGAGGCAGGAGGGAAGGACCTGCTTGGGAGAGAAGGAACAGAGACATCAGGGGCTAACTGCTGAACTGAGGTTTGCTGGGGAGTGGTTTCCTGCTCCGTGAAATTCCCTTGGGAGAAAGCAGCACGGCAGCATGAGCTAGGCTCTTCAAGACTCTGCTGCGGTCGCTGCCACAGCAGCTCCGACAGCTCCTAACACCACGGCTCTTGTCCTCACTGCTGCAGCGGTTACAGCAGGTCCAGTACTGGAGGCACTTTTTTTTGGGAGCGTGCCAGAATATTCCTGAAGAATGAAAGCAGGAAAAAAGAACTAGTTCATTTTAACAGTTTATATCTCCTTCAAAGCTGAATCTAATTTAGTGGAACATAAAAAGGCACTTTGTTCTCTGATGGTGCTTCCCCTACCAAATGTCAACAGCCTACTGCAAACAATGGAAGTTTTAAGAGCTCCTTAGCGAAAGGTCACAATTTTTGTATAGAAAATGCTAGGCCATCTAAATACAAGGGTCAACACCAAATGCCCCCATAGTAATTTTTTTAAAATCATGTATACAGGCATGTTTGTATTTGCCAGCAGACAGAGGGTCTGGCCAAATAAAACAAGATCCATGCTTAGGTCGTCCATGGGGACTAACGCTCTCATCTCTAACCTTGAAGACATGAATCGCTGTTCTCACAGACCTGATTCGTTCACTCAATGATTACCAAGAACGTCCACTTACAACCCTGCACAGCAGGGGAAAAAAGAATCCTCAGCAGGGTTCACAGTCTCTGAAGAAGGCATTGCAGGACTACACATCTCAAATGCTCCCCATCATGACTTAAAAGGCTTACTGTGTGACCAAGAAGCCAGCAGCTTCCATCACATGTCAGGTTGTCCAAGAAGCCATATGATGGATAGATACACACACACACACTTCCAGACATGCTGTGGCATAGGAGCTCTAGCATCCTGTTCTTAGTCCTCTATGCCCTGGAGTGACCTTGCACCAGCCTGTAGTTGTTTTTCTGTAAAGCAAGAAAATGAGAATCATCTCCTCTACAGTGGTAGCAGAGACTGTTGGAAATAACAGTTTTAAGAGGCATAAAGATATTAACAGACATCAGTTATGACTAGAACCCAATTTTCTTGCTTGAACATGATGTACCTTATCATAGATGCAAGGGCATTGTGCAAAGAAAGGTATATGCATGCTGTGTGTTTCTTTCCACCCAGACGACATGAAGGCAGCAGATTTTTCCAGCAGAGGCCATAACTACGTTATATACAATAAATCTGAGAGATCTGGCACGAGAGAGCTTTTGCCTTCCAAGGCACTGACAGTTTGGTAGGGCCCCTCCTGTATGCTCTGTTCCAGCTGGCCCTGCCTCCTCTCCCTGTCTAGAGCTTTCAAAATCAGCTCCAAAACATGCCAGACAAATAACTTAACCCTAAAGATGCAAACAACAGGCAGTACAATGCGAATTCTCTAGAAATCACGGAACAAAAAAGGGACTGTAAGCCACCACTCAACAACCTCACATCCCTACAAGAGAACTCTGTATGGCCAAGCAGTTCTGTGCTGGCCCTACAAAATTCACTTAGAGACAAGTGCAGCAAAACTAGCTAAACCTCGAACATGCCAAACAGTCCATTCTCAAAGATGGTAAAAATTCTAAACAGCCAGGAACCCAATCTTCTATGCAGGACACTATTTCAGGTCCTCAGGCTTGAGATGCATGAGCAAGAGCATTTCATATGCAGGATAGGTCCATGCTGCAGAGAGAATCCTCACCCTAGCTCCCAGCTCCATAGGATATCCTTTCAGGCAAGAACAGCAGGCGTCATCGTAGCATGTATTAAGTCTTAGTCATGGTAGCATGGGGTCTGCCAGAGCTACACTGCTATCAGCACTTGAGCTTCCTCACCTAAAATTGAGTTACATCTCTTCAAAATAGTGGGGTCAGCCCTGCTACAGCCAGCCCTGTTCAGCCAAGCGACACCAGTGTGCTTTGCTGACAAGAAGATGGAAGCATCAAGGATTTATAAACCAAAGCACTGCCGTAGTTTACCAACTGAACAGACAGTAAACAAGCAGCAACAAGCCCTTATTAGGACTGACCTGTTGCCCAACAAAACACATGTTTTCTAAGA